GGACTCTGAGGAGTGGTCAGAGAGGGAGGAGGAGAGCCAGAGGGGAGAGAGGGAGAGACAGAGAGACAGAGACAAAGAGAGACAGAGAGACGGGGGTGGGGGGGACACAGACAAAGAGACAGACACACACACATACACAGAGAGACAAAGACAGACACAGAGACAGAGACAGACAGACACAGAGAAAGACACAGACAGAGACAGAGAGACAGAGAGGGGAGGGCACAGACAAAGAGAGACAGACAGAGAGACGGGGGGAGGGGCACAGACAAAGATACAAAGACACACACACATACAGAGACAGAGACACACAGACACACAGACAGAGAGAAACAGACACACACACACACACACACACACACACACACACACACACACACAGAGTGAGAGAGAGAGAAGTGTCCTAAAACCTAGAGAGAAGAGTGTCTCAGAAGGTGGTAAAATCAGACGGCATCAGGGTCTGCCGAGGGCTCAGGAAGGATGAGGACAGAGAAAAGGCCGCCGGCTTTGCTGATTAGGAGAGCGCAGGTAGCTGTGGGGCGGGGCTGCAGTTCCAGAGGAATGGTCCAGAGGATTGGGAGGGGTTAAGAAAGCAGTGAGGGGAGGGAATGTGGAGGCACCACAGCCTCCTCAAGGAATTTAGCCAGGAAAGGGAGGAGAGATAGAGGGCGATACGCTTGTGAGGACACTGGGATCTGGGAGAGTTTGGAAGGCTGGGAGAGCGTGTTTGTTGGCAGCCGGAGAGAAGCAACAGGAGAGCATGAAGATAAGTCAGGGAGCAGGCTGGGAGGCGGGGCCTCCTCCTGATCCCCAGCACCAGTGGGCTCCACTTTGGGGGATGCGTCCACAGCAAGGGAAAGCGGTCATTTCATAAATGTCTCGGATGGAATGGAATCGGAGCCGGGGGAGATGCGCCGGGTCTGGGGACTTTCCTGGTCAGGTTTCCTCGGAGGTCCAGGCATCCACACCCCACAGTGGCCTCCCACAGCATGCCAGGGGGCTGGGCAGGGGGAGGGCTTCATATTTTACAGTTATTTCCTCACAATAGCCCTGTAAGAATATAGGTGCTACTGTCTCCAGTTTTCAGATGAGGAAACTGAGGCTCAGAGTTTCTCACCCATGGTCACACGACTAGGAAGTGTTGGCTTCATGTCAGACACTAAACACAGGAGGGAGATTGGTGCCAACGAGGACCTGGGCATGATGGAGGGCATGTTAGGGGAAAAGTGTTTGCTGAGCCAAGGTGGCAGAGGGAGGCTCAGGAAGTGGACGTGCCAGCCTCTGCTCCTGGCCCTGGTCACGGGGCATTTGAGGAGAAGCAGCCTCTCTCCACGGGGCCCAGCGGGAAGCCTCGAGGTTTCTCTGAGCCCCGCAACGGAGTGGGCATACCTTCATCAAGTGCCTACCATGTGCCAGGCACTGTGTTAAGCACTTTACAGGCACTCTCTGCCCCAGAGGAGGGGAGGAATGTGAGGGAAGGAACGCTTAGGAATGAACAGAAGGTAAAATGGAAAGGAGGAAGACTTGAGGACTGGGGCTGGGCAGTGCTAGGGCTGTCCCACCGTTAATCCCTTGTGCATCCCAAAATGTCCCATGTGCTTGGGGCAGATCCGCCAGACCAGGCTGCTCTGGGGCTGTGAAAACCCTGCGGGTAGGTCTGAGAACAGACTGAGTAACTGTGGGAAGGCAGGTCCAGCATCCAGAAACCAAGCCCAGCAACCCCACGGGAATGGAAGCCTGCCTCTCTGAGTCAGGGCCTGGGGCTTGCCCCAGGTGCCCTACCCTAGTGCCTCTTCTGCTCATGGACCACTGTTCAGGAGGCTGAGCAGGTGTGAGTGAGCCAATCTGGACTGTCAGAGGGGAGCCCAGGCACATAAGATTGCTGGCCTGGGGAAAATACTAGCTGCATGAACCTCTATTTGCCTCCGTTTCCCCATCTGTAAAACAGCACCTACCTTCCAGGGTTGTTGTGAGGATCACAAGAAATAATCATTGTAAAATGCTTAGCACAGTGCCTGGCACACAATAGGTGCTTTCTAGATGCTTATTTCCTCCAGTATCGCAGCCACGCTGGCCTTGCCGTTCCTCAGCCGTGGCCCTCCATCTCCAGGCCTAGCACTGGCCATTTGCCAGGACTGGAATGCTTTCTCTCTTAGAATACCTTGTTCCATTCAAAGTTCAGTTCAAGCCTCACCTCTTCTCCCAGGAAGCTCTTTAGGGGCAGGGACTGGTGCCTTTTGTTTCTAGGGCCTGGCACATAGTGGGCCCACAGAACAAATGCTTGTGAATCCAATGATCTCTTACTCCATGCTGGGGTCAGAGGTGTCAGGGCTAGCCAGCAGTGAGGGCAGTATTGTCAGGACTTAAAGGGAGGGGGAGGAGCTAAAAAAATTATGAGATTATGAGAGGAGGAGACCTGGAAATGATGAGACTGGAAAGCTGGAGAGGGGGTGGACATAATTCCAAAAGGGAGATAATGCACTAAGGCTTGGAGGGCTCAGAAAAAATCTTACGGAGGTGGCCCCAGTGCTGAACTTGGAAAGAAGCTAGGAATTCTCCAAGGGAGAGAGGAGGCGGGAGGGCCTCTGGGCAGAGGGCCCGGGGTGGGAGACAGAAGCCAGAGCCCAGCATCATATGTTACTCATTACTTGCCTTTCACATACTTGGTAATCCAGCCAATATGGCCTGCTGGCTCCTAGGGCACAAGTCTATCTCTCCTCTCCGTGCCTTTGCACTGGCTGACCCCCACGCCTGGAAAGCCCTCCCTCCTCACCTCCAAATATCTTGCAAAAAATGCCTTTACAAAGAAAAGAAGAAAAGAAAAGAAAATGTTGCATTTACCTGAGGCTTACATTTCTTGGCCCCCTGCTCAATTCTCAAACCCTTGCAACTGGGCTTTGACTCTAGAGACTCCAACTCTTCTTCCATTTATTAAGCATTTACTTGGTTCCAAAGACAGAAGGGAAACCGATCCCTTGGAACAGATCTGATTCCTCTTGTCTAATTCGATGTGACCCACGACGTCCAATCCATGCAAGCTAAACCAATAAGCATTTATTAAGCACCTCCTATGTGCCAGGAACTGTGCGTGGGTGCAGAGGCTACAAAGACAAGCGCTCAGAAGGAAGGCAGTACTTGGATTTTGCCGGGGATGGGGGCAGGGGAGCTCCACATAGATGAGCAGCCACGAAGAAACACAAAGGACTCTCTGGGTAGGGGGCCAAGTGCTTAACAATTGAGAGGATATGGAAGTTCTTCTTGCAGGAGGTGGCCCTTGAGCTAGGCTTTGAAAGGATCCTGGAGCTCCAAGAGATGAGGAGGAAGAACATTCCAGGCGTGAGGGCCGATGCAAAGGCATGGTGGTGGGAAACAGCTAGGAGGCCAGTTTGGGAAGTTGGAGCAGGATGGTGAGGGGCGAGAGAATGAAGCTCTCGGTTTGTGTCCCTGGAAATTCAGGATGGAAAAGTTGGTGTTCTGAGAGCTGAATTACTTTGGAAGCCACAGGGCAGGAGGTCCAGAGAATGACAGATAAGGGACCGAAAGAACTTCTGGGCCAGAATTCCCTTACGACCTATACTAGGCTCCCCTTGGAGCTGTCCGGGGTGTCGGGGAGAGCCCTATCCTCCCCATTCCTTTGCTGGCCAGCTCTGACCCTAGGATGTCTTTTCTGGTTGAGCCCAAATCTACCACTTGGCAACTTTTAGCGTTGCTCCTGGTTCTACCCTTGGGATACAAGCAGAAAAGTCACTTAGTCTCTCGGGGCCTCAGTTTCCCCTTTGGGCTAGATGCTCTTCAAGGGTCCTTGCCCCTCTAAATCTTTTCTCCTCATACTGACTCCCATTTCTGTAGTTCCTGGAGGTTTAAGAGAGGGTTGTCTCGTAAAAACAAAACAAAAAATTCTGTGAGGTCTTCAGTGCAAATATAATCACATCCTTATTTTACACATGAAGAAACTAAGGCTCAGAAGTGATTAGCTCAAGGGAGCCCAGGTAGCCGGCATCTAACCACAGGCCTCCTAATTCCAAATCCAGCACCTTCCCCAACCTCGCGCCAGCCCTAAATTCTCCCTGGGCCTTTCCAGCCGCGACGCTTGGGATTTCTAGGCGAAAGGGTCCTGGGGAGGCCAGGAGGGAGACAAGGCGTTATTGTCAGTAATGACCTGGGAAGAGGAGGGACTACATCTCCCAGGAGGCCCTGGGACGCTTGGCCGCCCCAACGCCCTAAGGCCCCTTACCCAAGACCAGGACCAGGACCAGGACCAGGACCAGGACCAGGACCAGGGCCAGACTGGCCTGGGGTCGACAGAGTTCGTGGTCTCTGTGCTTGACGCCTCAGGTGGGGCCAAAGGAGGGGGGCAGGTTTGGTCTGGGAAGCAGGGGAGGAGAGAGGGGCAGGCTGAGCCGCCCCCCCCCCACACACTCGCTCAACTTCCTGAACGGGACTCGGGTACCCTCCCCGTCCCACCCATTCTTCCACCTCCACCTCCGGCCGGCGGCCCCTGATTGGCCGCCAGCTACCTGTCCGTCAGGGGCGGGGCTGGGACAGCCCCAGCCCAGGTGAGGCCGCCCGCCGCCAGCAGGGAGAGGAAGGTGACAGCCGGGGAGGGAGGGAGGGGGGTCCCGACGCGGGGGGAGGGGACCGCGGGTCATCGCCAGCCATGCAGCCGGCCAGGCCCTAGCCCAGGAGCACCGGGGGCTGCCGGGGGGCCGGCTCCCCCGTCCCGCAGCGCCTGCCCCTCTCCAGCCCAGCGCAGCGCAGCCCAGGCCAGGCCAGCCCAACCCCAGCGGAGCGCAGCCCCAGCGGAGTGCTGCCCCAGCGGAGCGCAGCCCCAGCGGAGCGCAGCCCAGCGCAGCCCAGCGCAGCCCCAGCCCAGCGGAGCGCAGCCCCAGGGGAGCGCAGCCCCAGCGGAGCGCAGCCCAGCGCAGCCCCAGCCCAGCGGAGCGCTGCCCCAGCGGACCGCAGCCCCAGCGGAGCGCAGCCCCAGCCCAGCGGAGCGCACCATGGAGCGCAGACTGCAGGCCCTGGACAGGCTGGTGAGCGGGGAGCGCAGGGGCCCGGAGCCGGCTGGCCTCCTGGACGGGCTGCTGGACCTCCTGCTGGGGCTGCACCAGGAGCTCTCCAGCGCCCCCCTGCGCCGGGAGAGGAACGTGGCGCATTTCCTCAGCTGGGGTGAGTGGGCTGGGGGTGGGCTGGGGTGGCCGACCCTCTCCCTATGCCCTGCTGGGCAGACACGCTTGGCAAAGTACTGCCCGGCACTTGGAGGGGCTCCGAGGAGAGGGAGGGGCTAGCCAGCCATTCCAGGGAGCATCCACGCGGGACTAAACCTGCCCGCCCACCCACCTACTTCCCGAGGCTCACACACACCTAGGGGGACGCGCCCCCAGTAGGACTCAGGCACATGCCGCGCTCCCACACTCAGCCGCCCTGTGCCTGGTCGGACACACGTTCAGGCAAACATTGCCTCTCCAGCCCCTTTGTTACTGGCCGTGGGCAGGACTCTGGCCCTCTCTTTAGCTACCCACCTGCGCAGGGACCCCTGTGGTGGAGAGGCCATCAATCGGCACTCCACCATCCCCCATCTCAAATCTTCCATAGGGACCCAGCCCCCTTTTCAATGGACCGTGGTGGCTGAGTCACCTGGGAGTGGCTGGCCCAGGGTGACCCTGAACCCCAGGCAGAGGAACTCAGCTAGGGCTCTGGCTTCGGGGCCACAGTGCCCCCAACCCTGCTCCCCCCGCCCCCGTGGCCCAAGTCCCCAGCTGCAGAGCTTCCCGAGGGTGGGGCCTTGGCTGAGTGTTTGCCCAGCGTAGAGCCCTTGGCATTCCTGCTGATGAGCGCCTGCTCAGGCCTCCCCTCCGCAACCCAGATGTTCTGGGACATCCAGCCCCTGCTGTCATCATGGGCGCAGCCCCAGGAGCGAGTGGGGCCCGGTCTCTACCTATGCTCTCTCCTGCTCCCTCTATAACTCCTGCACGTGTGTTCCTCTGCTTCCAGAGACTCCCTCCCCTGTGACTTTCCCCAGTGAGGTCCTCGGGCTGGTGTTTCTGGGCCCCTCCGACTCTTGCTCTGTAGGCTTCTGGGTTCCCACTAGCTGTTTGTTAATGGGCAAAATCCTTTCCTTCTCTGGACTTTAGTTTACCTAGCTGTAAAATAAGAGCATGGGACCCAGGTGGCACCTAATAGATGCTTTTGGAATAGAATTTAAGCCCAGATGAGGTTCCTTCCAGCTCTGCTGTTCTACAGTTCTCTGTCTCTTTCTGTGTGTATGTGTATGTGTGTGTTTGTGTGTGGGGGTGACTCATTCCTCCACTGCCCTAACTTGCCCTGCTCCCCAGGTTGCATTGGGGGATTCTCCCCATTCCCACAGGAGCCCAGAATTAGGGTTAGAGACTGAACTTCATCTGCCTAAGTGACTGTTCACACCTAAGCCCCCTCTGGGCACCCTGGGGCTGCTTCTACCACCACCATATACATTTCTCCTCTTCCCTACTCTCCCCTTCCCTGGCTAACAAGGCAATTAACTTCTGGAAGGAGGCTCCCATACCTCCCCCGCTGTAGAGTTTCTGTTTATTAAACCTGTGGAGCAGCTCTGGGCGGAAGCCCACAAACCAGCCTGGTTGGTGGGGAGCTTACATCCTGAGAGGGGAAACTGAGGCAGAGAATGGATCTGGGCTTCTAGATTCAGAAATGTAGCCTTTCATTTTCCCCAGACCCTAATTTCCTCTCTGGCCCATGGCCCACCTCTCCTTCCTCCCACTTAGGACCAATCCCTCAGTGTGCTGTAATTCAAGTGAATTCAACTCAAGAAGCATTTATTAAGCACCAGGGACTGTGCTAGAGTTTGGAGGCACTAGAGAAAAACAAAGCAGTCTCTGCTCTCAAGGATCTCTCTTCCTACAGGCTTTGGGCAAGTCACTTGCCTTGTCGGGGCCTCAGTTTCCCCTTCTGCCCTGAGGGAGTTAGACTAGATCAGGGGTTCTTAACCTGGGGTTGGGGAACTTTAACAAATTTTTTTAATAACTGTATTTCAATATAATTGGTTCATGTGTTTTATTTTATGCATTTAAAAACGTAATTCTGAGAAGGGGTCCATGAGCTTCCCCAGACTGTCCAAGGGGCCCAGGACACAAAAAACAATAAGAAACCCCTTCCCGCTCCAAATTCCATGAGCCTGTGATGTGCCCTCCCTGGAGAAAGAGTGGGGAGAGAAAAGCCAGCATGAGAGCAGCGGGGCAGGACACAGGGAATGGGCTACCTGGATAGGGAGAACAGAGCTACAGTGAGAGGTGGAGGCTGGGGAGGTGTCTAAAGGCGGAGAGAGAAGTGGATTGGGGGGGTGAGAGGACCAGGGCTAGGGAAGGGGGATGGGACAGCCAGGAGGGGGGTTGGGAGGGCAGTGCTGTTCATTCCTCTCAAGGCTGTGTTTACACTCTCAGGAAAAGGTTTCTTGCCTGGGCTTCCCCCGGAGAACCAGCTTGGGGCAGGGCCCAAACCCTGCGCCATAGCCAGGAGGGACTGAGTCGTGAGCCCTGGGTTTAGCCAGATTGTCCCATCACTTCAGGCTTCCCTCCCCAGCCCAGCATCCCTTCTGCTTCTCCCACTTTGTCCCCTCTTCTGTAAAGAGCCATTTGTTTGAAGCTTGACTTGCCGGTTACTTAGCCCCTGTGGGACTTTGGGCAAATAACCTCACCTCTCCGGGCCTCAGTTTCTCCTGGTGTAAAATTGAGGGAGGGACATACATGGATGATGATCTGTAAGGTGCCTTCTAAGTTCCATGATCCTTTGCCAAGATCCCACTTCTCTCCAGCTCCCAGCTCCGGGCCAGTCCCCGCTCTATCTCCTTCTCCCCTGGCTCCCACTTTGGCAGCTGCCCCCCAGCCCAGGGCTGGCAAGGGCAAGGGCCCCAGCCCAATTCCTCCTCCTCCTTCTGCACCCCCCCCACAATGCTTTCCCTATGAGGAATGTCGCCAATCCGGTTCCCCAAGACAGGCCCAGGCCTGGCCCCTGCCAAGGGGAGCCTGGAGCTTGGGCAGGGTGAGCTAGGAATAGGGGCTGTGCCCCCTCGGTCTCACCGGTGGACCTTCCCCAGCTTTCCTTCTTTGGGGCTGGGGGACTACAAGTCCCATCAGCCCCCATGGAGATGGCCATTCATTCTGGGGCAAGTAGAGTGTGGGCGCTGCTGTAGAGGGGCAGTAAGTGGTAAGGAGTAACCCTCTAGGTGGGTTTCTAGGTAGCTGTGGATTAGCGGGACGGGTAGCTGACCGTTTCCTGAGCGTTTCCCCAATACCCCTGGCAACTACTCAACTTCCTACCCGCTGCCGGCCATAGCTTGGGTAGACTACAACTCCCATAAGCCCCTGGGAGAAGACCCTGTCTTTCTCTAGGGAGCGAACTGACCTGGGCTCATGGGAATTGTAGTACTCCCACCCACCTTACGGAAAGCATAGGCACATAGCGTTGTCAGATCTGGAGCGGACAGTTCCTTTTAGCCAAGATTGACTCCTTACCTGGACAGTGGGGAAGTCTGTCCAGGGACCTTTTCTCAGAGTCAGCATTTTAAAGGCATAAAATAAAAACCAGAGACCAATTACATTGAAACAGAATTTATTTAAAAATAAGTTCATGGACCCCAGGCTAAGACCCTTGTCTCACTGGCTCAGAAGGGTGGGGAGTCCTTGGATCTGACTGCTTTACTGATTTGTTTTTTCCCTTAAATTTTTTTTTAAAATTCTTCACAAACTCCAAATAAAACGGGCATTTCCATGTAAAACGTAGAATGTGAAAGTGTGACTGTTATATGCCACTTACTGTTCTTCTAAAATATATAAAATAAATTCAGCCTGTAGCTTTCAGAGCTGCCCTGCTTTTCTGTGATGCTTTCTGGTCTGTGCATTCAAAAGAAAAGAAAAAGGTGCTCCAATCATCCATCCTCCCTCCCTCCCTCCCTTCCTTCTTTTCTTCTTTCCTCCCTCCCTCCCTTCCTTCTTTCCTCCCTCCCTCCCTTCCTTTCTTCCTCCCTCCCACCCTTCCTTCCTCCCT